AATTTCAGTGTTGTTTGTAACTTCTGCAGGTCAAAGCCAGAAGTTTCCCTTACTTAATTGTCTCAAAGTGCAGAATAAATCTTCACTCACGGTAGAAGATGTACTGTGCGTAATTGGACCAGACCCTGTCATCCGCGTAACCGATGGAGGACGCAGTCAGGGACGAGTTGCAGGCCACAATGTGAAAGCCGCTCTCTGACAGCATGTCAAAAGCTCTCTCCAGGTGCCTGAACTTAAGGTAAAACCTGCAGGTGTACCGGTCCGGCGGTCTGTCCAAGTCCCTGTTATCATTCAGGGCGTCTCCAAACACCTCTTTCGCTAAGCCGATCCTGCTGCTGATGAAGATCCTCGGTAACTTTTTGGTCTTGGCATCAATTTGACTTTCTCTGCCTCCCCCGGCGCATACACCTTTGAAAGCGACCGTGATGTAGCCGTACCTTCTGTCCAGAGAGTACGGGGGGTAAAACCTCTGGTCGCTGCCCTGCGACACATCATCGAAATCACTGTAGTACAAGTCGTCTTGGAGTAATTTTGACTCCTCGGATGACAAAAGTTTGGCCAAATCTGGAAGCTGGAAGTATTCCGCCTCTCGTTTCAACCTTCCTCTCTCGGGGAAGTGGTCAGGGAGGACAACTTGCTTGTCTCTAAGGTAATCCAATACATACCGGAACAAAAAGCCGTCTCTGTCAATAAAATAACGTCCTCTAAGGTCCCGGGCCAAGTCATTTGAAGACCCCTTCTTGTTCGAGAAAAGCTTCCCAAGCAAAGAATTTGGAAAACTCGTCAAGGTGGCAATACGAGTGTAATACACCTGTCCACCTACATTAAGCTCAACCACGTCCGATGGAGGGTTTTGCACCAAGTCTTGTTCTTTAGCAGGTTGGGTTTTGCAATTTTCGCTCAGTGCCATTTTCTTCCCCAAATACGTGCACGAAACCTGAGCCTCGTCTTGGAGCGCAAAATTCCCAGAAGTTTAGGGTGTGGGGTGTAGCTGCATGCCGTTGATGCACTCAGACCCGAAGCATAGTCCTGACATAAGCTGCAGCCCTCGCATCCAGAGTCTCATGTCAAACTATCTGTCCAAGGTGTGCCTGCTATCGAGCCTTTAACCCCGTGCGTAAATGTGCCTGCCCAAGGTGCATCCTTTTTTTAACACAATCAATTATCATCACCCGACAGCGCGTCATGTTACACACATGCACTGCGAGGGGTCATTAGGGTGACTTCTGAGAAATATAATCCGCGCTTCCGTTTTGAAAATAGTAAAATAATTTGCTTTATAGCGAAAGTTATCTTTGGAAAGGTTCGCCGCCTTGCGTCTGGCTCCAAGTTTAATCACGTTAGCTCGAGTTAATGTAGAATAAAAAAAACCTTCGTGCATCCCGCTATTCTGCCACTGAGCGTCCCTCGTGACAACTGGGATGTTGAAGCATGCTCCGAGGTCGCGCTCAGAGGAGAGGGGTGGACGCGGGACTCCGGCGCGCGCCCATCTCTCCAAACTGCTGAGTGCGGAAACGTTTGGTCCAACAAAAGCTTTAAGATAATGTTTCTCAAGGCTGTGCAAAAGAGAGCGCGCTGGAGAGGGAGAGAGAGACAAAAAAAAAAAGTGGTCCCATGAAGTGTCTTACATCATCTTAAAGGAAAATGACACGTGCAGAGGATCGTCATGAAGCGGGCTGATGTGGCTGCTTCTGTGCAGTTTTTCATGAATTTCTGATTTAGCCACGGGCGCTGTGCAGCTGGCGGGGAGGATTCAGCCTTGAAACATCCAGCGTTGAGGATTTTAATCCCTTCTTCTGAGTCTTCACAGAGGCTTTCGCATTTACATTTACCGCTTTTAGCTGACGCGCTTATCCAGAGAGATGGGTGAGGGGTTAGGTCCCATGCAGTGACTTGCTCAGAGACTCATCGGCAGTGACAGCTCCACGTCAAAAGCTTCCTGTCAAAGCTTCAGGAGACAATGTCACTCATTCAACGGGAACTGATCCCTCCCTCATCGATTTGACCAAGTCTTAAATCAGCACCACGGACAGATCTCATTCACAACAACTCGATGCCCCTCCTCCTATTTGCAAATAAACTACATGCTTATTATGTAAAACAATGCTTTCACTCATGCAGGAATCTCTTACTGTTAGTATGATGCCAGCCAACATGAATATGAAATACTTTCTGGTATCAAATCCCACTTTGTGAATGACATTTCATTGCAGGATTACAGCTATTTGTGGTAAAGAGGTTAAAGAACAAACTCTGGACTTATTAGTGAGTCGCTACATTCTCCATGAAAGCAGGGACAGAGGTTTGGGAATGGTGTATTATTGCTCAGGGCCTGCTCAGTGAATTTGTCATAGAGCCATCAGTGTACTCTACTGAGGAGCCAAGAACTGGAGGGTGGAAAATCCAGTTTGGATGATGTGAGAATTTTAGGCACAATGCACATCATCATCTGAATATATGCTGTTGTATATAGGTCAGAAGCTAGTGATGTATGTAATGTATGTACTAGAGAATAACTGAGGGTTTTTACTTGATTTTACTCTTTCAAAGGTGAGTCTGGGACGTGTTTGTACAAAGTGTCAGTTCCCTTATCTCCACTGCCCACATCACACGGAGCCCGAGCATGAGCCACACTAATCTTGGTTTCACACTGTTATGTATCTCCTGTTTGCTTTTCAGCTTTGTTTTCTGTGTTGTTTGGAAGCTTTGCTGTACGAAAATCAGAGGCTTTTATTGCTGTGGTTCTGAAAGAAGGCGGTGATGATGGAATGATGGGAGAGCACCCGTGACTTGTGGTTTTGAGGAGGCAGCGGTCACGCTTTTACCATGTTAATTCAAAGTATATTGTACTGGAGAGGGGTAGCTCGGCAGCCAGAGGGGACTGAGTGGGATTTAAACAGTGGGGATTTAGAAATACACTCAGCATCCCACTGATCTCTTCTCTCTGATGCTGCGTACATTATACTAATATATAGTTTTTTGTGGACTGTCTGACCTTTATATCTGAGCACAATACAGACAACCTCCAGATAGTAAAATCAAATGGTGACAACCAGATTATTGTGTAAATACGAGTGTATCCCTGGTGTTGGACTTCTATAACAAATACTTGTAGTTCTTTTACTGCACCTTGCTGAGGGATGAATCTCTTCCCTTATGTGCTATAAATCCTGTTTCTTATTCGTCTCACTCATCATCCCATTAGAGCCAATTTCCCTGCCTCCTGTCTTCACTTTATTTCCTGTTCGCATATACTCCCAGGTTAGATTTTATCTTTTTGAAAGGGGTTGAATTTCATGTAACTTCAACATGAATAGTGTAAAACAATATGGGTTCCAGCTGAGCATGAAGTAAGAAAATCTGTATTTACTCTGACGTTAAATTGATCATTTCAGTTTTTGCTGAAAAGTGGCCTGGGTAGAATATAGGCCGGCCACGTTGTTTGGCATGTACAAAGTATCAAAGACATTATTTCAGAAATCTCTAAAATAGGAGTTTAATAATGAAACTGACATTTAAAAATCTTTTTAACCTTTTTTTTCAGTGTGATTAAAAAAAAAACACACACTAGTAAATCTTCCTCAGACTTTGCCTTATGACTATTGTGCAGCAACAAACACACCCAAACCTTTCTGCTGAGTTATTATCCATATATGCATGAAATCGACTGCCTTGCCCTGTTTTCAGCCTTGAATCATCTTCACTTCAATTTTCAGCAACTCATACTTCTTGATGAAAGATGCAGGAGTCAGAGCTGGCATGTCTTGAGAAACCAAAATGTATTTTTCAGTTTTCAAACTAAATCATGAATGAAGTAACACTGCTGCAGATTTAAAAGCACTCTAACCTGTTCTATTTTGATGAACACTGTCAGAGTTGGCTTCAATTGTATGTAAAAATGCAAGTATCCTAAAAGTAGGGTCAAATGTTACTCATTACGCCTTACTGATTAATGATTATCTAATGTTTTTTTTTTTGTTTTTTTTACTGCTGCAGTCATTTTCAAGGAATTTGAACAGCTGAAGGTAGCACAGTGAATAAAACCAGCAGGGAAATGTAGTCTTAAAATATTTATGTTTGTCAAGTAGGTATCCAATGATTATCTTACATCCAAGACTTGACTGCCTTTAGTTAGTGCATGCTTTGACCTGAGAATGCCCTGAATGGACTTTTTATTTTTAAAACAAAAACTCAAAGTGAAGGCCTACTTATTAAAAACTGAGATCGGACATCTTCTGCTTTGGTATAGTTATAAAGGAGAAAACTCAGTTCCTGTTCCCAGCCACTGGATTCATCATTCTACGAAGGACTACAATGTCCATTCACAATTTCTCCCCCAGTCCCCCCCCCCCCCCCTCTCTCTCTCTCGCTCACTCTCTCTCTCTCTCTCTCTCTCTCTCTCTCTCTCTCTCTCAACGAACAGCTGCAAGACAGAGGAGACCCCACTCTGGGCAGCTGTAAGAAAAATCATGTAAGAGGAGCCAAACGCTGACGCTTTGATTAGCACCATTTGTTCACTACAAGTGCACACTTGGACCAGATTGTACTTTCCCTTCATACCATAGTTGTTTGGTTTCTGGCTATCTTGAATAAGATTCACACACGAATGATTTTTTGATGTTTGAAATTTGTTTTTTCTCTGATGTGACGAGTAATATGATGAGAAGAGGAATATGACGATTTAATACATTTGACCATTTAAATATTTCAGACATTAATGTTTTGGAAAATGTATAAATTAAATGTTAAATGTTTACTGACCTAAATGTTTCGATTTATTTCAAAATGTTTACTACTGTAAATTTAATTTTTAAGTTGTGACTGCCGTTTTTGTTTTGTTAAAAATTATTTCACAAACCTACGAGAGAACTCAAAAGTCCAGCTTGCTTACACCACAAGAGCTGCAGTTCCCGGACGCGACCAGCAGGCGGCGCTGCGTGTTGTAAACAGGTCTGCCTGTGGGGCTGGCTTCCTTTTAGTTCACCATTTTGTATGTTTTTCCTGGAGGTTAGCGCCTACTTTCCTAATGGCTAGTTGCGAATCCCCTTAGCTCAGCCAGTCCGGCGCAGTTTTGCGTGATAATTTACGGCTACATCGATCTGCACGACAGTAAAACTCGTGTTAAATACGGCGTGTGTCGTGTTGAGGCCTTTGAAGAAGCCGTGGAGTCAGACAAGAGGAGTGAGGTTACTGCTGTGTGTTGTGAGCTGCCACTTTCAACCAAAACAATGTTGACAGACGACCTGTGGACACACACCAACACTCTGCCATTTCAAGGGTAAATATGAACTTTTACTCAGATTTTATACGGTTAAAAGTTAGCAGAGGCCATTCCAGTAATGTTGACTATTTAAAGCTGAGTGTGTAATGTAGAGCTCTGTGTTGGTTAGCAGGCTAGCAGTGACAGCGGACTGAAATGTAGGCACGTAGCATTCACTGGTAGCCACATTGCTACCTAGCGTTAGCGTGCCAACACCTAGCAATAAAGCTAGGGTAAGCATATCTTAATGTTATCGGCTACATGTGATCTGTGGTCGAACATGTGCAATGTGTGTTCACTTTGTGTGAAGTTCATGTGGGTGTTGAAAGGTCTTTCTCTGCGGTCAAAGACTGCAAATGGACTTGCGCAGTTAGCTTTGTTTAGCTTCGTTAGCTATCAAGGGCGCGCAGGGGAGGGGGGGGGTGCAACTTTCACCAGTCCTATACTGACCTCATGTTAGTTTATTATTCTCTGCATGTGCACAGCCTCAAAGAGATGTCTATTTTAAATTGACTTTATCGGGACTCGCTTTTCAGCATGCTGGTTAATCTGCTTTTTTTGTTGTGTTATAGTGTGGTGTCATTGCACTTTATCCAGTTCTCTGTGTTAACCTTCTCTGTCATCCCCCCCCCACCCCACCCCAAACCAAATCAAAAGATGGATACAGGAGGAGTGAAGAAGATAATATACAGAAGAGATGACCATTTAAGCAAATTAGTCTACAGTGAAAGCCCTGAGGAGGGAGGTCTATTGAAAGTAGCTCCTCACAGTGCCATGCCCATCGCCTCTGCCACATCTATCATTCTTCCATCCAGCCCGTTGATGCAGCCAGGACAGGTGCCCAACGGCCTCAGCAACAACCCCCTTCCAGAGGAGCTCACCTCCGTCACTGCCACTGTCGGCACATTGTTAGAAGACCCAGAGTACAGGAGCTTCAGCAAAGATCACAAACCTCAGCAACAGCAGTTATTCCAGGCGCCAACCTCCACTTTGTTCGGCCGTCAAACTTTGCCCCAGTTGGAGGCCAGTATAACAGACATTGCACAGTCCTCCATGGATTCACTTATTGGAGGGTCAGATCCAAACTTCTTCTCCATTAAAACAGGGGATTTCTCCATGGATAAAGGAGACCAGGACCCCATTGACCTCGACAATGCCTTTGAGCACATTGGGAAAGATGTGGATGTTCACCAGAAATTGTTCAGTGACAACACACTGGACCTGCTCCATGACTTTGAGCTGACTGGCTCTCCCTCAGATTTTTATGTAGGCGATGATGCTTTCCTGTCCTCTCTGGCAGATGACTCTCTGCTCGGGGATGTTAGCTCAGAGAGGGACATGAAGGCTGCCGCTGTTGAGAGCGTTAACGGCAGTGGGGCAACCTCTGCCGCGCTCAATGGGATCAACATGACAAGTCCAGATCAGCCCTCTTCCAGCATATCCACGACTGCCTCCTTAACTCCTACAACCACTTTGTCTGCTTTGGTGAAGAAAGAGAAAGACTCTGGTTTCATTCAGCTCTGCACGCCAGGTGTGATCAAACAGGAGAAGACGTCTGCAGGCCAAAGTTATTGCCAAATGAGTGGCACAACCGCCACAGACTTGCCCAGCCCTAACCCCATCTCCATCTGTGGGGTCAGCACTTCAGGGGGACAGAGCTTTCACTTTGGAGTCAACACCAGCAGCAGTGAATCTCAGCAGCAGAAGACTCAGAAGCAAGTGTCCAACCTGTTTCTCCCAGTGACAACCATCAGTGCGCCCTGGAACAGAGGCCAGACTATTGTGGACAACAGAAGCACAGAGGCATTCTCAAGCTCTCCTTTCAAGCTCGGCTTTGTCAAGTAAGAACTCAGCTGCGTGGTGCACTTTAATTTAAGTGTTACTAATTTTAGCTTATTTGTTTATGTGTTCATTCCAGTTATATCTTACTCCATCCTCTCTTTCATCAGCAAACAGCTTATTTTCTCTTTTTAAAGATCAGAAATGTTGGTTCTTATCTTTGAGACAGCTGTTGAGAATCTTAAAATATGCTGGGTCATGGCCACAACTGTCCAGACCATGGGTTGCAATTATTAGGATTTTTTTTACGTCTTGGGTAGAGGAGGGCATGTGCGTTAATGCTCTGATATGACACAGTCCTGCTTTATCCACAGCATGAACACACAACCGAAATTCAAATTCAAATTTTGTGGCGATGGAAATAAGAGGCGTGTAGTAGGAAATAGTTTGAGCATTATTTTAAGGCATAGCTGACAGCTTTTGTTCCGTAAGTGTGATAAAACAAACTTTAAGGAATAGAGAAGGCTTTATATCAGTGACCAAGAATAATCTATTTTTTTAATTCCTTGGCCGGCCTCTTATTAAAAGGTTACTTGGGCTCCAGCTGCATTATTCATCATGTTTTACATGCCGTTGAATAAAGTATCAATCAGTGCTTTGTAGATTTAATCAGACTTTGTAATCAGGTTTCACAAGTCAAAAAGTGCTTATTCTAGATAACTGTCCGCTCAAAGGTGGTTTCCTTATGATTGTTAGTCCAGGATTTTTCATTGTGTGTGAGTGTGCATACATGAAGGAATGAAGGTTTGTTGCAAACAGCCAGTCTTACGCGGCATAGTCAGATACAGCAGAGGATAGTGTAGTGTTTATTTTACACACACATTAAGTTGTTGGATGTTGAATAGCGTACAGAAAGTGGTAGAAAAGATCGCTGCTCCTTGCAGCAGGTTTGGTTTGTGGTGTTGGGTTTCCATGACAATGGGGATTGATTTGAAACCGAGACTTCGCACTGAGACAAAAAGGGTTGGTTTAACCCCTGAGTTGGTTTGTTAACCTTGTAATCCTGCTTTGTGAGGCAGTGTTGTGGACTCTGCTGGACATTGCTGCAGCAATAAGCACATACAGTAGATTTTGGGAAATTATGTTTTGTTACAGTCAGGGGATTCCCACGTTTATACAAGTCAAACATTTGTCCTTTTTTCTCTTCCGAACAAGCATGCCCTTTTTTTAATCTTAGTATCTCTTACTTTAGTCTAATAGCTGGCTCAACCTCCTCATGTAAAAATCCTCACCAGGGGTTCATTAGGACACTTTGGGAAGATCTCATTGATCCATAAATTTCATCAGCTTAAAATAAATGTAAATTTACTCAGTCTTCACTTAAAGCAGATGTGTCCCCAAAGAGCTGCAGAGACCGTTTAATTTAACTAGAGATGAATGAAGTGTGGCCTTTATATAATAGTCAGGCCCTACAGTAAAAGAGATCCTTGTTTCACTGACTTACTCATGTGATTTTGCTGAACCCTAATTTCTGCAGTGATTTATTTCCAGTGTGTTCACACAGATAAATGATAAATGATCAAGAGTATCAAGCCCTAGTATTCCAGCTCCACACAGGCCGACAGAGTTTCTTCTGTACCATTATTGCTGCTCTGTAGAGTTTTATGACTTCAGCTGTGAATGTGGCCTGGGACCCAGTCCTGAAATTGCTCAATGGAATTTTTTTAACAGCAGTGACAGGGTCACATGTCACTGAGGCTTTTTTTGTTTGTATCTCTTTTACATTCACACTTATCTGATTCACAGTATTGAACAAGGGAGGGATCAGCCCAAAAATAGGCATGCGGAAGTATGTCACTTCAACAAGGGTACTGATGTTTTTATTATTTGTGCAAAAGAGGCTTGGTACCGTCTCCACGACTGTCTGACCATCTTACTAATGCTTGTTGATGGGGAACAGATGGGCAGAGAAATGGGATACACCTCACCATTTCACATGTGGCTTTAATTGCCCTGTCTTTTGTGTTTCTTCAGAGGTGAGTTTGACTGTGTTTAAGCATCGGATTATGTTTGTGGTATGAGCCCAGATGATTTTGTGTGGGCGTGTGGCTGTTTGGTGATTGGCTTATGGGTGTCTAAACTTAGCATTTCTCCGTGTCTCTTGTAGGAGGTTGCTTTTGTTCAGTGCTTGCTCGCCTCAACCTGTGTGACATTTCACAGCTCACCTATAACACTGGGTTTTCCCGGCTCTGTGGTTATCAGGCAGGTTTGCATCAGGTCACCATCACTTGCAGCGCAAACGCAAAAGTGCTTTCTGCTGAGGCTCGGTGGACCTTGAATCACACTTGGAACCTGACCTGCTGTAGCCCCACAGTTCTTCTTGCATCAAACTAGGAGCGGCTAGTAACACAACCAGTTTTCCACATTATTGGTGCTTTAATTTTCCATACACTGCCAGTTCTTCTAACACGTCACTGTTTTAAAATCAGGCTCTGTTGTTTACGATCTGACTCAAAACATCTCACACAATGCATCGTGTGATATGGGAAGCATTGTTCCAGTTTTGGTAAAACACACCCTCACCCATTGACAACTAGCTTTGATGTGTCATGACCTTGTTAACAATGAGTTGCTCTAAAAGGAAATACTCGTGTAACATGAAGGAAAAATACAGGAAAATAAATACTGTAGTAGATGATCGTACAGCTCATATTGTAGCTCTGTGTTATGCAACTTTTGATTTACAGCATATTTCCTCCTGCATCCCGCTGCTGACTAAAGCCTGTGCCCCATTGTGTTTTCTCTGGGCTCTTGACTATAAGATCTATAAAAACGTTTTATAACACATATTGTAGGTTACTGGAATTTCTTGGGGGGCTTTTGACTCGATTGTGTGTAACGGAGAAGCGTTGTTTGCACGACTTGCACAGCTGTCTGATTGAATAGAGCTGTTCTCACATCTCACTTACAGACAAAGCAGTGTTCTGTTGCTTTAGCATCTTGTATCAACCCTTTATGTATGTGAGTACTGTATGGTTCAGGTTTTCACACTCATAGAAGGTCATTCATTCATACTTTCACGAAAATCATTTCACTGGACGAAGTCCTTGAATATAAGGATTTCTCTCTTTGACTTAAGTTATGGTCACCTTTGCCGTTTTAGAGTGTTTATGGGACCTAATAATGCAGAGACTGATAAGTAGCCTGCTGGCTCAGAGCCTACTGTGCAGTAAGACCTGCACAGTAGGTCTTACCTTTAATGACTAATGTGTAAGTGCAATAAAATAGCTTAGAAATATCCCATTGCTATGCCTTTAAATCAGTGATAGACCTGATTGAACACTTCAACCAAAGTCAAACCAAAGATGGTGATTTAAAGTCTGTTGGATGTTTCAGCTGTGGGCTGGTGCCTGGTTTCATATGAGTAGTTTGTATTTATGAATAGCTCTATATATTTATATAAAGCTTATATTTAGTGTATGATTAGTTGTATCTCTCTCAGAGTCACCATTTAGTCTTGCTCTGACATACCCGTCACCTCTCTGCCTAGCTCGCCCAGTCTCTCTCCCTATCCGTCCTGTGTTTTGGGGCACAGACCTTGACTGTCAGCAGAATTTTTTTAAATCAACTTTTATGATATTTATTCTGTGCATGTGGTATAGATGTGTGTTAGCTTTGTGCATTATTTATGATTGTGTATGTGTGCGCATGTGGGTGTGTCATAAGTGCTGTAGCAGCCAGGACCACAGAGCGCTGCTGTGGAGCGCTCACTCTCCTGACCTACTTTCTCTTCCGCCACTCCACAGCTGGCGCCGAATGAACACACCAGATCAGACGCCAGTCATTCCAGTCGCTTTTAGGTTATTACGGCATTCCCCTGTAACCACAGTTTAGCTTTTTCTTTATTTAGATATTGTTGTGTTTTGACAGCAAATAGGCTTACCGAAATTCCCCATTCTTCCTGTCGAGGTTAAGAGGATATAGCTAAGTCTAGGCAATGTTTCTGTCCCTCCTCTTACTTTTGTGTTCAGTTGTTGAGTCAGCAAAGCCCAAACTTTGGGAGTGGATTCCTCCCACTTCCAGGTCATTCAGCTAAAGGAATTATGGTTATGTGCACAGTAGCAGCAGACAGCCTTCTATTTATTCTACAGGCAGGAAGTCACCTCCTACCTACACACAAGTCATTAACAGCTCTTATTATGGAAACTCAAATCTTGGGGGTTATATTTTTGTGCCTAGTAGCCATGGGTTAGGTTTTTTTCTCCTGTGGTGTTTGAAGTCAAGCACTGAGCTAAGTCACGCACTGAGCCACAAAATGAAGCTTCTATTGAAGCAGGGTTGTCAATACAACAGGAAGGAAGAGACAGCTGTTCTCTGTTGGAAGATACACTGAGGGATCATCTAAAGTGTCACATGTTTGTCTCGAGAGGCTCTTGTCATTGACCAAAAATGTGGCCTCTAAAAACTCATAAACTCTAAAAACTCTCCAAGTTACTATATCTCCATTGTATTCATTTTCTGTGCCAGCATAGCATTTGTTTAGGAAATATGATGTTTTATCACTTGTCAAGACATACTGTATTTTATTGGAGGGCAGAGGAGGTGGATTTATTATTTAGAGTCCAGTATTAAGCCAAACAAACCCAGTCTCTCCACTCCCTCACAGAAGCTGTGTTGTTCTGCGTGCAAGAATGATTCAGAGTGTGCAGACCAGTTCCCCTTTCTATTTTGATGGCTCTTAACCTCAGAGAAAGAGCACTTCCTTCTGCTTTTCCTCGTCTCTCCTCTTCACATCTTCACATCTTCACATCTTCACACTCACATGAGTTTTGATGAAGATTAAGGGGTGTTGAATGTTTGTTTATATCAGTAATAATCCACAGAAAGCCGGATTGAAGCCTTCAGATCCTTGCTAAGACCTTTCTTCTGTTCTATCTTTTATATAGAATCTTGACCTCACAGACAACTAATTACTGGTAAACAAAATAATTGTTCCTATTTTTTTCTGAGATGACTTATGTACTGGAGCTGGGCCTGAAGTAGGTCAAGTAGCTGATTAATA